CTGGCTGATGGCATAAAAAGGGAAATCAGCACCGCACTTTCGTGAAAACAAAGGCACCGGAATGGCCACATGACAAAAGTGTAAGGAAAACCAGAATTGCAATCGCCGTAAACTTTCTTTTCATTTTCTCATCATATACGAGTCAGATATCATGCTGTTATTACCTTCAGGCCCTGCCACGGAAGCGAACCTCGGTTAAAGTACATTAGCACGTATCCCATCGACTCCATATCATCTCGCCTGCTTTGCTCGATTCCGAGATGCGCGTTGACGGACGCGTATCGAGCAGTGCCGGTCAGGTTCTTATCTTCCCGGTAAAGAATATGTTGTCGGGTTCGGCCATCACGGTATTTTTTGGCAAGACCAAAATCAATAAGAAACAGCTAAAAAAGCAATGGATCAATAATGATTGACAGATAAATTTCCGTACAAAAAGGGAAGTTTATATTATAATATTATATTTAATCTGAACAGCTTCCTGCTGATTACTGATTTAATCAACTAATTTTCGAATGCTTAACATACGCTGGCTTTTTCCGTCATTAAGAGATAGCCCAATAACAAAGCTGTTACCAATAAAGAGAGTAAGCAACATAACTATGACCGGCCATAAACCTTATCCTAAAAGGTATTGCACTGTATTAATTAAAAAATATTTGCTATATTGTCTCGATATCTAAACACATATCCGTAATGATTTAGTGCTGTAAAGTAGAGGGATTGATCTTGGATCGATTCGAGTACTAACTCGAGTAATGTGCATAATTAGAACAAAAATGGGCTTGCAGCTGAATCCATCGAAGACAATAACACTGAAAAACTTAGCACAAAATCCTGTTAAGAAAGGTATTTCATGGAAATGATGCCGAAGAACAGAGAAAATTCACGCATACATACATACATACATACATACATACATACATACTGATACACATACATATATATCTACCCAGACACAATACAGCGGCTAGTTAAACTGCAGTTAAAACTATACGAATATTTTCCCGCAAAGAAAGCAGTCCTAAAAACAGCGCAATAAAATGTGGTATATCACTCGACAGACCGATATTACGTTTCAGATCGTATCGCGAGTTCTCTTCAAACTAAACCAGTGTGAACGAAGATCTTGAGAGAGGGCTGAAACGTCAGTACCGATCCATCATTGGATAGGCTAATGTCTTGCGCTACGCCTTGCTAAAGGTGTTTCTTGTTGGTTTTCCAGTAGGACTCACGAAACAAGCATTCTTCAGACGATCAAAGAAAAGTCCCGCAGTTTAAACGCTTCGGCGCAAGGATGGAAACGGTGATCAAGACTTAAAGGGGCATATTGCCATGGGCTTTTTACACCCTCAGAAGCCTGTAGAAAATCTGGGTCGGAGAGTTAATTTAAATGATGACAAAAATCTACATATATACACTGTATTTACTACTGTTCAGAGGATAAAGGATATGATGCATTATCCAGTTCTATGTCCTTTGGGCTAGGTGATTTTCGCGGTATCGACAAAATTCAGCTGTACGATAACGCCCATATAGAATCTTCTTGCTCTTACTTTCGGCCTCGATCCGGGAGTTAAGCAAGTTAATACAATTTTTCTCAAAAAACTGAGTGAAAAAGTTTCTTACGACTCCTTCACCGTATTATGCATCATTAAGGCGATTCGTAAAAATCATCTCTAACACCCAATGTCTAATGATTCAAAGAATTCGCCTCACGCCTCCCTTGAGATCCACCTTTTGCATGCACGGCATAGCACCGACTAAGCTAAAGATTAGAACAGTCTAAAAGTTCATTTCATCTAAGTTTTCCATGCAGCGTTTTTTCCATATTCTGGTCATGCACACAAATTAGTAGACATTGATAAACTTCGTTTTGCAGAACCACTTTTGTTAAAGTCTGAACCAAGGTGTTGGAAAGAGATGACTAATCGTAACTCAATAACGCCCATAACAAATTTTTTATAATGAGATTGATGATCAATCTCGTCACCTCAGATTTCATCAGAATGAAATTGAAACGAAAGCTTTTTTGACAATGTCATTAACTTGTCATTAACCTTCACTAAACGGTTGCAGCTATACTGAAGACGACGCTGTGACCAGTACTATGTCATTTGGCACTATTCTTTGTGATATACTTTAATGAAATACCGAAACTTTCAGCGGTACAGAAAAATTAAGGTAAAACATTAAATACAGTTTTACGCTTATCTGGGTCAGTTCCCCTCAACAACGGGTAACTGGTCCTGCGTAATCAACAAAATGAGCAAAAATGGCATGACGCACTTTTGGAAGACTGCAAATGCTCCAAACCGGGAAACTTTCCCCGTGCTTGAAATGGACGAACGAATGAATAACAGGAGAAAATCGAATCTAGATATCACTGGGAGGGCGAAGAGGCTGAAGTTGCAATGAGCAAAGTTGCAAGAACAACCGACCACCGGGGGTGAGGCTTTAGACTGGCTCCAGTAGAAAGTCCTACATACTGACGACAGGAATAAGTTCCTTGGATCACGATGGAGAATCATAGAAAACACAAATTTATGGCAAAGTCTTGGAGAGACCTTTATCAGGATCGAAAAGGCCGCTAATGATGATAAACACGTATGCTCATGCTCCTTGAAGCGCCAGAGGTTCGTTGTGATTTCCGCAACTAAAGAATTCATGTTCGTATTTCAAGGATGATTTGTGAGCTTCAGAAATTAATTCCACAGACAAATAACGCAAAATAAACATACCTTATTACAGTGGCGGCCGATTCCCATCAAAAAGTTGTCAGGTTTAATATCACGATGAATAAAATTCTTCACATGCACATACTCGATTCGACCAATCATCTAAATCTGGAAGGTTAGTGATTTCAAGAGGCATATAGATATAAGTTGATCACATTTGTGGTAACGCTCGCGATTCAAATTTAAGTATTGCTGCTACGTACGATCCGAAATGAACAACAAAAGGACTTTTGAAATCTATCTCCGTCTCTAGCTTGAAGGCCCGTGAAAGACGTGTAGATTAAACGTCTGCACTGGTCAATCATCTGAGCTGTGTATAAATAAACCATGTTTTATGCTGTTTTGCGCTTAGACGCCAAATAATAAAACGCGAACTAAACGCGCTTAGACAAACGAGGATACTGATAGTTCATTTATTCAGGAATTAATAATCTGAGCGACGTGTGTGTAACGATAATGTTTTTGCACTGACTGACCTAGACTCAGACGCGAAATAAAACGCACTTAGACAAACGGATATGCGAAGGTATGCGTACTATTCTTACCTGATCGGCTAACATTAAGACAGTTTTCATCGTGAAGCGTCTATAGCAGAAGTTGAAGAGGTCTTCTAAACTAGGTCCTAATAAATCCATAACGAGTACATTGCAATCGCGCTCTACGCCGTACCATCTAAAGTAGAAATCCCTATTAACATATAAAATTCTTAAACGCCTAAACTACGTATTATTACGAGACGAATAAAACCTTTTAAAAATAAGAATACGTTTTCTCATATTTTATAAGGCTACTGTGAAAATGTTCAAGAATTTTGTTGCTCCATAAGATGTGATCAGCGAAACTACTGATCAATATGCCTGTCATAGCTTTTCACCAACTTGTTATCTTAAATCGCATAAGGAAACAACTTAATGACAAACAGCCGATCGAATAGACTAGGTTTCGTCAAAATTTACTGACATCGAATCATAAAAATACTGAATCAATCGTAAGTACAAACTGTCTGTCTATATGACATAATTAAAATCTGAAAAGTCATTTGATATGACAGAACAACGTGCAATTTTCGAAGCACTGGAGGAGTGGGAAAATGAAAACGAGTTCATTCAAATCCAACATAGCTAGTGAAAATTTAGTCATTTAAACATCGTCGAATTTAAAGTTTGCTAAGATATTCGCTGAAGTAATTCATTGCAACCGTAAATCAACTTCACTTTTCGAGCGCCCTAATATCAGCGAATGAACCTGAATGTGATAATAAAAATAACAGTTATCAACGACTAATAATGTAAATAATATAACATATATACAATTCCAAAGATCAAGGCTTTAGGTCCTTTCACTTCAAGAAGTCAGTTGTATCCCGTTTTATCGACTGATAGACCTGCTTTTTTTTCGAGAAAGCAAACTTCTCTGTTCTGGTCGATTTTGCAGCGAATCATGAATGAAACTGGGGACCATTTGAAAGCTTCAGTCTTAAATCAGATGATCACAAACTTTATGAGAGCTTCATTATGGCTTAATAAAGGTGTCGCCACGCGGTTGTGACCAGATGTTATCACTGAGTCTCACGGCACTAACTGCGACTTAATTGGCAAACTGTCTGTAAGAACCATTACAGCCGATCCACATACGCTGGCTATCGATGTCAAATCGAATTAACTTCTGTCTCATGTACAGTCGAATCTTCACATAAACAGCTGTAACTAAATTATCGAATAATAATTCATTTGCATCGTTGTTTACATTACAGTTTTACGGCATAAGTTTATAACTCAAGTTCAGTAACTTAGAATTTTTTCTTCTACATACATTCATGAACAAAAAATTTCAATCATTTTTCTTCGCTTTGTTAAGGAGATTTTATTTCGTTTCTAAGAGCTTATAATAACCCTTGCGTGAAAACAAACAACCGCAACTTACTTTATATGGGGAATACCGATGCCGCCTTGAAGGATTCTGTAAATTTTGCTTTCGTATAACAGCTGAGGATGGCGGGCTTTGCATGACTCTAATTTCACAGCCACTTCCTGAAATATTCGCGCATATACAAAAGCAGAAAATGCCATAAAACTGAGCAAGGATACATATGAATGTTCAGTGCGTTGCAACATTTTGATCGATCTGCCCGACGTTTAGCAACAGTATTTGAATAATGTCCAGCTACTGAGATTTTCGATTATAGGATCACTTTTATTATCGATAATGGGTTCTCAAGTACATTTACTCTATCTGTACCTTATTCAAAAAACTGATACGAACCTAGGTGAGTCAATATTCTAGTAGTAAAAAAATCGAGTGCTCACCTCACCGTTCGACAAATTGATCCCAAGATATATATCACCGAAAGAACCGCTGCCAATCTTACGGATCAACCGGTACTTTCCACCGACGACCAGATCCTTTCCGCTGCCGGTGCCGCTTGCTGTAACCGGCATATCCTCCCAGGAACTCCCCGGCTTTCGTTCAGTATTCCCCGCCGTTTTCGGGGTGTTCTGAAATAATAACAGTAGATAAAAGTGTTATAGCAGAGACAAACAATTTCGCGTTCCATTGGGCGGAAGTACAGCGACAACGCGCGGTAGAAAATTACTAAATATAGAAATAAAAGGCAACTGTAATAATTTCGTGAAAGCATAAGTCACAAACGACTATTCAACATCGTTTATTTTTTTTGCCATGAATTTCATATTCATCCCTCTGATTCGAACAATCTGGTAAGGATTAGGGAGCAGCAGTACCATTTTTAAAACCCGGCTGTCCCTACCAGCGAAACCTTCAGCACTTACTCGATCTCGAAAGTCTCATCAATCGGCAATAGGCATTAATGAAAATTCCTTACTGCTCCGAGGGCATCAGTCACTACATTATTATTAATTATCACATCATTATCATTACTACTACTGTAACCGTTATCGTCATATAAAACGAGTGGTTTTCATCAAATCCTCAAGATCTTAATTATAATATTGTATTCGACTGTTGATCAGTGAGAAGTGTTAGAGAACTTACTCCAGCGGTAGTCTAAACTTGACGAAGATCTGATATATAGCATACAGCTTAACATATTCTAGAATAACCACGGTCCATACATAAAGACCAATGTAACACTTTGAGCGGTTACGCCTTAACATCTAAAATTACAAGTCAGGCATTAACGCGGACAAAGGCAATGATTAAAGCAGTGTTCCAGGTTAGTCTATGATGGAAGCAGTAACAACAGCACACTCAGCCATGCACACCAGTCGCTCACCTGTAGGAAAAATTCGTAAAACCAATTGGTTCATTCAGTAAACAACATACGCAGTCAGTCATTCATGTAGTTTCGAGGATCACTGATCCTTTCGGATCGCGGAGGCAGACGATCAAACAGTGTCACCAGTATTCCCGATATTGTCAGCGTATAAGTTTCGGCAGAAGAGAACCCGAGTCTGGAGCACAGTCTGTCAAGACACTTGTTGGGACAGTAACTCTTGGCCATCATTAGTGTCTTCTCCTGGTTAGCTGGGAAAGTAGTAGCTGCTTCGCCTTCCTTCCTGAAGGTATTCCACCAAATACATGCCCAAATCATCACAGCTGTGATTCCTCAAGCTGCTGAACACAAAGGCCTCTCTCCGATATTTGAATGCCACACCATGTCGAAACGCATGATCTAAGCAAGTTGTCTCAGAAAGCCTATTTCAGCTGCTTGTACCCGGGATCGAAGATTTTCACTCATGATCCACGAC